CGCCGCCGCCGGGCTGCTGCTGTGGCGGGCGGCGCCCCGCGGGCTGCTGCCGGTGGCGGGCAGAGCCGTCCTTGTCACAGGTGAGTGCGGGGACACGGCCTCGACGCCCCGACGGCACCGCCTGGGCTGGCGGGGAGCGGAGTGGGGTGTCCCGCAGGCACCGGGACGCTGCTGTCAGTGGGGTCCCGCTGGGGACCAACCACCGCTTCCAGCGCATCCCTCATCCTCTTCCACGTCCAAGCAGAACCGGCCAGGCTGTATCTGCCCCCCGAAGCAGGGAGTTGAATTGGCTCCTCGAGTGTTGACCACTAGTTGCAGCACGATGCTGAGAGCTGCTTCCTCTGGAAGTCYCGAGATTAGATGGGACAGAGCCGGAGCTCTGGCTTGGGACCCCATCAGCTGGCCAAAGGGCTTCCCTGTCCTCCCCTTCCCTTCCTCCCCTCTGGAGCCGTACCTGTTCTTGGAAAGGTTCTCATGGTATCTCTAGAAGCTACAACAGAGCTGGCTGCCCAGGGYTGAGCATCACTGCTTCATCCAAGCTCCATCCAGGGAGCTGATGACAACAAGGTCCTCCACTGTGTGGTATCCTTGGGAAATGCTGCCCAGCGGCTGCCTGCCTCCTCTTTGGGCTGCCTGGCCCAGAGCTCCTCCGTGGGGAAGGTTGCTCCTCAGGGAATGTGCTGCGCTCTCAAGTTTTGCACAGCTCTGGCTTGGTGGCTGAAAGTCTTTAGGATATCTTGGTGTATATATATGGTTTTCTCACTCCTTTCGCCTGGCAGGGGCACTGGAATATAAGAGCTGGGCTAAGCAGYGCTTTGCTGTGAGGCAATGGCAGTAGAGAGGGTGAGGAGGAAGTGCTGGAGCTGGGGTGGTTTTTGCTCCAGGTGTGCCTGGAAGGTGCTGCTAGCTCCACATGGATGCAGAGGAGGGAAACTTGTGGGCATGACCTTGGCAGTGCTCCCAAGGACAGGAGCCTGCATCCTGGTGGGAATGTCTGTGCTGCGCTTGGAGGCTCTGAAGTTGGAGAAGGCAGTTTGCCTGTTTCCTAGAAAATTAAGGCAAGACCTGGGTTCCCTTTCCAGCTTGAAGCGTTCTGTGGCACCAGTGGGAAGTGCAGGGAATCATCTCTGGAGGAGGAAGATCAGAGGAGCAAGGCAGTGGATGAATGAATGATTCAACTGAGTGAAGGTCAAAGCTGCAGCGGGGCAGGGCTGCCTGGGGAGGATATATCTGACAGCCATGCGCTCACAGGTGCCCTGTGGCACGCCGGCTCTGGCAGCCCTGGCTCTCTGGCATTGCCTGTATAATTAGTGAGTCAGTGACTGGAACAAGGTGTTCTTGCCCCAGTGCGTTGAGGTGGCACCTCTGCAGCTCTGATGTGTTTGCTCTTGGCTGTAAATACTTTGTGGTTTTACAGGTTCGAGGTGCAGCCTGCGGTGCGGGGTCGGTGTTTCCGTACTGCTGCTCCAGCAAGTGCCTGCCAAGGGGCAGATTTGAGGGCTGTTGTGCTGGGGATGGCATCCCTCACTTGAGTACTTGCATAGTAATTAGCCTGATTCTTTTACGGATTAATTCCAGACACCTCCTGGCAACTAGGTGTTGAGTAGCTGCTGGTGTCTCCTTTGGGAGCAGCCGGGAAGGATCAGCTCTGGGAGAAAGGCAGCCTGGCCTTCCTCCTCTTGCCAAGGGGAAGCAAAGCCTGGCAGTGCGAGAAGCATGGGGTTGGGTGCTTGGGGATGCTGGGTCCCAATGAAGGTTTGTGAGACTGGGGACTGAGTTTCTACCACACTGTGTGTCTTGCAGGTCAACTGAGAAATGGCACAAAGTCCTCTCCTTATATAGCAGTGCAGGTCTCAGCCTGAAAAGCTTCGGGCATCATTTCCTTGTATACACCCCTTGGCCACTGTCTTAACCCTGCTGCAGGTTCAGTGATGCTTATCTGGGACAAAGTTGGATGCAGTGTTGTTCTATCTCCCAGGTGATGAGTTTCAGCTCTTTYAGCTGCCCACTCTCCCTGGGAACAACTCTAAGTTGAACTCTGCATGTGATGCTCCAGCCCCATGTGCTGGTCCGGACATTGCTGGCTAAATAAAACTTAGTTATGGGAGGGATCGAAGGAAAGCTGCACTAACTGTGCAGCTCAGTGGGAAAATAGMAGAGCAGCTGTGGAGCTGCTGCAGAGTGAAGCTGCTGACCCTGTGGTAGCAGCAGGGACTGGAAATTTGTGGCGTTTCCCATCTGTTGCAGGTTTGCATTTCGGCTGTTGCACGTGGGACTGAGGTTTGGCTGGAGCAGGGATGGGCAKCTGCCTGCTGCTAGCAGGGAACAAGGAATGCTGTGCTTTCCCATGATGCATCCTCTAGGCTAGCAAAGTCAGTGGTCACTAGTCCCTGCAGTGCTGTGTTTGTCTAGGGCTGTGACCTTGAGGCTTTTATTCCAATCCCAATGGTCCATCTTCTGCAGGAGCATGGCTCCAGTGGATGCATCAGGCTGGGGGCAGAGGGTGAGGAAAGCGTTAATCCTGTCTTCCTAGGGGATGTCACAGCTGTTTTCAGGGGGGAGGAGAATGCCCTCCTGTGCAGCCGGGTGCTGGGAGAGGTCAGCCCCAGGAGGATGGTGGGGATGAGGAGGGGAGCGGGGACCAKCTGCTTGGCCTGGGCTGAGGGAGACAGCAGCCATCTCCACCATGCCTCCCTTGGTTTGCTGTCCTGAGCCTGCCCTTGCCTTGAAGATGACCCCACGCCTGGCACAGGCTTTGGCCAAACTTGGAAAARCACAGGGACCCCAACAAGCCTGGTGTGGGCAGGTTGGCTGTGGGCAGCTGTCTGACCGGAGCCTGATCCAGCACAGAAAAGCTGCAAGGCAGCCAACGCCTGGCATCTCTCACCACTCTGTGTGTGACAGGGCACCCCAGGGTGTTGCTGGCTGGCACCTGTGGGCCAGTGGTGCCAGTGGCTCACTGGGAGCTGCTTGCTCTGAACATCAAATAGCTGGTTTGATTTAGTGTGTGTATCCCCCTTCCCAAATGTGAAACGGCACTGCTGGGTGTTCTGAGGGCCACTGGACTCCTCAGAGCTGCGTGAGCAAAGAGTAGAGGTGTCACATCCCATCCTACTTCCCATTGGRAATTGATACAAAAAGCAGTCCAGCCTCTGGAGCCTGGGCAGGGGTGATGGTCTGTGAGAGCAGTCTTGGAGGGAGGTGATGAGATGCCACTGCTTGGCCTCTCCAGATTCAGGCTGGCAGTGCTCTGGGCAAGGTTTGATTCATCTAGACCTGAACCTGGACCATCCTTTGATCCCCTTGGTCTTAGCAGACACCTGTGAAATTCAGTGAGTCCATTCAAATTATCCAGCACAACTGCATGCCTGGAGGTGGTGGARGGATGGCCAGGAGCATCCCGGGGCTCCTCTGAGCAGCTGGAGGAGTGTGAGTCTCTTGCTGTTGTGTAGCTGTGCCATGTGTGACTGCGGCGTGGTTCTTTGGACAGTAGCCAATTGCCCGACTTACTGCAGATCCTTGGAAAGCACCGAATGAAAACCAGTCCACAGAGTCTGCCTGCACACAGGGCTTTGCCAGAGCAGAGGGAAGACAGGAGCTGTGCTACAAGGTACTGGTTTGTGAGCTTCAGCTTGGATGAAAACCTGGAAATAGTGAAATGTTGTTCTGTCTGTGATGGTGGTACCTGAATTAGCTCTCCAAGAACTCCAAACATCAGGATGGCTGCCTGGGAGAGGTAGTTTGGGTCTCTTGTATCCTTGCTCCTCTTTAGTGCAGCCTATGAAGCCAGGAGCACCTGTAAATTAGTCTGTCTTCCAACAAATCATTTCTGYGAGTAAAATTGTTTGGTAGGTCAGGCTGCCCAGACCCAAATCTGCCCTGTCCTCCTCTCTTCTTCCTGGCTGCAGGGGAAGCGTGGTTTTCCTGGTGAAGTGCTCTTGTTAGTCACATGCTCCTTTTAACAATCTGAAATGGGTCAGAGCTTCAGATCACGTTCAAGGTTAACAKAGGCTTTGCAACTTGTGGTGCTTCAGTGTTTCCCATGGACTCCACAGATGTTGAAGCATCTGCTGGCTGCAGCAGGACAGAGTAATTCAATCCAGATGTTGGGACTCTTGCTTTCTGCCATGAAGGTAAATCACTTTCTGTAGTAAAAAAAAGCAGCATTGCTCCAGTCTGGACTTTGATATTGTCTTAAATCTATTTTCCAGCTAAACAAGGTGACTGAGAAATGTCAGGGGTCAAAACTTTAGGGCTGGCACTGAGATGGGCACCTCTGCACCACAGCATGGCTGCAGCACGTGCACAGCGTGTTCACAGCCCATGTTTGGTTCTGAGCCTGCCAGCAGCCTTGCCATGAGAAAAGCTTCATGCTGCAGCTCTCCATAGGTGACTTTCATTCTGCTTCTGGGGCCAGTGATCCAGCTCAGAGCACTGGGATCTTTCCTAAGCGGAGGGGGGTTGGAAGTAGGTATCTTTTATGTCCCTGCTAACCCAAATCATTCTGTGATTCTGTAARTGAAGGCTTGAAAATCAGTTTATTCCCTGAAATTGCTCTCATTTTTCCAGAATCTATTCAAAATTAACAGCAGAAGCAGCTGCTGCCTCAGGCTGAGGGGTGGGACAGAACCAAAATCAAACACCCAAACTCCAACGCTGGTGCACAAGCAATTCCCAGTAAACTTGGAGGAAAAAAAAGCCACATTTAACCCTAGTTATAGGGTTTGCTGCTGGCTTTTGGGAACAGAGCAGGGAAGCTGCTTTCTCTGCCTCTATCTGCAGGGCTGAAGCTCTCCCCCGGCTTTGTCAGCAGCCCTCCCTGGATTTAGGATTCTTCTTTCCCACATGAGATTTCTTCAGAAATAGATACCTACCCCTGCTCACYGCAGGCATGTGGATAGATACACTCAGCTTTTTCTCACTTATCTATAAAATAAGCAYTTTTGAAGCCTACTAATGACACAGACCTGTTGAGGTGGGAGGTTTTAGCACCGTTAACCAAAAATGATGAGCACAGCTAATTAGGAGGAAAAACGCATGGAGGTTTCATACTGTGGGAGACTGGAGATGGTAGAGAAAC